AACTACTCCCCCTTTTCCCCTCTATGACATCACTCACAGTGCTGCTGTTCATTGGCCCATGCCGACCAGGCGGCGACACGCCCCCTGTTGTCCTGATTGGATGAGGCTGGTGCCTCGGGGGCGGGGGTAGTGGGTGGAGGCGGGATCATGCCGTCACTCTTCAGGATCATCCTGTAAGATGGATCAGCCAATCAGCAGCCAGCATTAGAAGCCGCATCAGGAAGTGTCTGAGGTTTTCTTACTTCAGCGTCTCAGGTCGTTTCCTCACTTTGCCCCCTTTGGCATCGATCATGGCACTTTCTACATCCAGGTGAATCAGATTCGCCTGTTGGAGCACGACACCTTCAACACATTTTAGTCACACAAACTCAGAAAACACCAGCTGCTCTGTTGAGGCTGTTCTGAATGGCGTCTTCAGTCGGATTTGGAGTACCACAGGATCGTTTTCTCGGTCCCGTTTGATTTCCTTTAAATGTACACATTACATGTCTGATCCTTAACTTCAATTAACTTTTAGGAATAAATCCTTCAACATCTGATTCCAGATGAAACATAAAAGCCCCAGATGTGGAAATATTTCCATCAGAAACAAACTGATGAGACAGAATACATCTGGAACAGCTGCCATGTACGACAGCGAATACGGAAATAAAACGTTGGAACAATGAAAACCATCGTCTGTGCTGAGATAAGAAGGGTCTGGATCGCGGTGCTGGTCCGGTACCTTGATGTCGTCGCACTGGAACAGGTGCAGGTCCGCCTTGCTCTGACCCGAGTCTTTGCACACCAGCGCCAGGATGGAGTCGTAGCTGCAGGCGTTCATTACTGCCTGGCAGTGCTGGACGGAGCTGATGGGGAAGTTCTCCAGCTCGTTCTGAAACACATCCAGACCGCCGGCGCTTTCAGCTCCGGTCCAGACCAATCAGCCACAGCTCAACCACCAGACTAGGGCTGGGGGATATGAGGAAAATCTAACATCCTGATATATTTTTGCTATATCACGATACACAATATATATCACAATATTCTTAAATGAGCTCCAGTGTTATTTTTAAACTAGACTCCTTGCAGACCCCATTTCTCTGCTAGACTTAAATATAAGCTCATATAAAAAGTGATGCAGTGTTTTGCTATAAACTGTCTACACTATGACTAGATAACAAGGTGAGAAATAAGCTTTAATAAGCTTATAATAAGTTATGCTTGACTTTGACAAACTTAATATATAGATGTGCTGTGGAATAAGGTGTGATTTGGTTCAGCCTAAAAATAAAAAAGGCGACCTACACACAAACTGACAGATCATCAGTAAAGCAGGTGTTTAAATTGGCTAGTCTACCACTGCTGTGTCAGCGTGGCTAATAGCAGCGGTGGCTAGTCTACCACTGCTGTGTCAGCGTGGCTAATAGCAGCGGGCTAATAGCAGCGGTGGCTAGTCTACCACTGCTGTGTCAGCGTGGCTAATAGCAGCGGGCTAATAGCAGCGGTGGCTAATCTACCACCGCTGTGTCAGCGTGGCTAATAGCAGCGGGCTAATAGCAGCGGTGGCTAGTCTACCAC